ATGTTCATTATGGAAAATGTGGGAATTACAAGTTTAAAGAAAAAAAATTGAAATAACCATCATAAACATTTTGGTACATTTACTGCCAACCCACTGTGAGTAAAGACATGAACCACTTCACTGCCATAGCCAAGGATCCACTGTTGTCAGTCTCTTTTTTTATTAGTATGTTTAGTCTCATTCTCTTTTGCATTTGTACTGTTTATCACTTTTTTTTTTCTATTTATCACTTTTAAGAAAAAATTTTTTAAAATTTTTATTAGTACATGTTTCAGTGCATAAAGATTACATTCATCATGGGGAATTGGTAAATGTACATATCTTAATTCTTTTTATTTCCCTATGACTTCCCCTCTCCTCTCCCTTCATCTCTTGGTTCCTTTCCCATTTCCAAAATTTCTATCTCCCTGTTTCCTATTATCTCTCTTATTTCCTCTTTAAGTTAATTATACTTTGGGTTTCTCATATAAGAGAAACCATGCAATATTTAAGTCTGTGAGACTGACTTATTTTACTTAATATTATCTGAAGGTCTATCCATTTTCCTACAGATGACTCAGATTTATCCTTTTTGGCAGAGCAGTACTCCTTTATATATAAGTACATTTTTTTTACCCATTCATCTGGTTTTGTTTTGTTTTATTTGGTACTGGAGATCGAACTTGGGTCCTTGCGCTTGCCAGGCAGGTGGCGGAACCACTGAGCTAAATCCCCGGCCCTACCCATTCATCTGTTGATGGACATATAGGCCACTTCCAAGATTTAGCAATTTATGAATTATGCTGCTATAAATATAGGTATGCATGTATCACTGTAATGTGATGTGTTTAACTCAGGATCTTTTACTTGAAACCCCCTCTACTTGTGCATAAATTCTTGATTTTTCTTCTATCTTTTGAATTATTCCTGTTTTTTAACTTCCCTTTAGACATTTTTCAAGCAGTAGCCTCTAATACTTCATATTTAATCTTCTCTTTGAATTCACCTAGAAAGCTCATTTATCCTTAAAGCTATATATCAGTTATGACTTCAAAATCTGTACCTACATTCCTATCATCTCTATTCCAATTTTATGTCTTTGACTTTCAGTAAAACATTTCCAATCATTAACTTGGACTTACATGTCCTTTCAATAGTTCCTTCAGGCCAGTGGTGGCGAACCTATGGCACACATGCCACAGTGGACTGTTTGAAAGCTCTAAAAGGTTCACCATCACTGCTTAGGGCCCTCAAAACACCAACCAGTTCTCTTTGATTTATTCGCCTCTTTTGTCTGTGAAATGCTTTTTTTTGGTACCGGGGATCGAACTTGAGACCTTGCGCTTGTGAGGCAGGCACCGGAACCCCTGAGCTAAATCCCTGGCCCCTACTTTTTTTGTTTTTCCTGTCCTAGTGACTGAACCCAGGGGTCTCACACATGCTAAACAAGCAGTTTACCACTGAGCCACATCTCCAGCTCCACGACAGCACATTCTATTGACTACCTGTGATGGCATTTCAGACCACTCCAGGAACTTACTAGAAATGCAGATTCTTAGACATCATCCCAGACTTACACAGAAATGCTAAGGATAAGGGTTGATCCCCAGTCCTCTTTTTTTGCTTTTTTGAGACAGGATGTCCCTATGTAGTTCAAGGCTGGCCTCAAACTTGGTGATCTTCCCACCTCAACTTCTGAAGTGCTGGGGTTACAGGCATGCACCACCACACTTGGCTTCCCAAAAATCTTAAGGAAAGCTGGGGATTTAGCTCAGTGGTGTCACCGCCTGCCTTGAAATTGAAAGGTCCTGAGTTCGATCCCCAGTACCAAAAATAAAACTTAAGGAAAAATGAGGCTAACCCACTCATAGAAGGTCAACAACAACCTAAAACACTAATAATCACATGTGGTTAGTAGCTAATGTATTAGACCATGCAGATCTAGAAGGAGAGCTGCTAGAAAAATTACAGGCCACCCAATCTCACAATGTTTAATGTCTCATTACTTGTGTCTTAGGCTTAACACCAAATTTTTTTCCTCCAGACAGATAAATAATCAAACTCTTTCAAAGTAATGGAAACAAAAATCAAACTCTTTCAAAGTAATGGAAACAAATTTCAAATATTATAACTATTCCCCAAAAATGGACCAACTGGGACTGGGGATTTAGCTCAGTGGTTTCACCACCTGCTGCACAAGCGCATCGACCCGAGTTCGATCTCCGGTACCAAAAAAAAGGACTAATTCTAGAAAGCCTGTCACTTAAGACTTTTCAGAAAAAGGAGGACAAAGATATAAAAAGCAAACTGACTTAACCTTTGATGTCCAACTGAGAACCTGAGTTTAAGCCGCATTTCCACACTGTATCTCTAGCACAACTCCTCACTAGATAGATAGGGACATGTTTGAGGAGTCCTGAAGAACTTTTCAAGATCTGTGGGACCGGTGGGCATGGTGGTGATGATGCATGGCTGTAATCCCAGCTACTCAGGAGGCTGAAGCAGGAGAACTGCAAATTCAACACCTGCTTGGGCAACACAGTGAGGCTCCCATCTCAAAAAAAAAAAAAAAAAAAGCAAACAATAGCACAGCAAATCATGGCACCATGTATATCAAAGGAAGATTGTACTACTTATTTATTATTTTTGTTTGCTTTCTTTTGTTTTTTTTGAGACAGGGTCTTGCTATGTAGTTCAGGCTGGCTTTGAACTTGATCCTCCTGCCTCAGCCTCCTGAGTGCTGGGATTGTAGGCATACACCTGAACACTTGGTGGTTATACTATTTAAAAAATATATTTGTGCCAGGGATTTAACTCAGTGGTGCTGCTGCCTGCCTCGCAAGTGCAAGGTTCCGAGTTCAATCCCTGGTTCAAAAACTATATATATTTGTGGGCTGGGGATGTAGCTCAGTGGTGGAACACTTGACTAGCATGGCCAAGGCCCCTGGGTTTGATCCCCAACACCACACACACACACACACACACACACACACACACACACACACACACACACACACACACACACACACACACACACATTTTAGTAAATTTTTTTGGGTTTTTTGGTACCAGGAATGAAATTCGGGTCCTTGCGCTTGTGCAGCAGGCGTCGAAACCACTGAGCTAAATCCCCAGCCCTAGTAACTTAAGTTTTGAAATTACTGTTACAAATTACTGTCCCACCCTCCCCCAAGCATCTACACAGCAAACACACCCAGTGTCCCAACTCCATGGCACTCTGGGCTTTGAAATTCAGTTTGTACACTATAATTCTCATCCAGCCTCTGACACTCAATTCCATGATTACAATTTAGAGGATAAGAGGTTATCAGGAGACCACACAGCCAAACATACTCTAGGGGAAAAAACAAAAACAAAACCCAAGGGCCGGGGATTTAGCTCAGTGGTTTCGCTGCCTGCTGCACTAGCACAAGGACCTGATGTTCGATCCCTGGTACCAAAAAAAAAGAAAAGAAAAGAAAAAAAGAAAAACAAAACCCAAAAAAGCCACAAGCTCTAGACCTGGTTCTGGTTGAGGTTGAGCTCAATGACCTGCAACTCCTCCACTAGGTCAGGTATACTCCGAATCTGGTTCTTAGAGAGATCCACCACATCCAGGTGCCGGAGGCCACAAAGTTGGCGTGGCAGTGCTCCCAGTTGGTTCCCAGACAGGCTCAGGGTCTTGAGGGCAGAGAGCTGCCCAAAGGTAGATGGCAGTTCTCTTAGATGATTGTTGTTTAGACTAAGTGTCTCGAGTTTTTTCAGATTGCATAACTCATCAGGTAGAACAGCTGGTAAAGAAAAAAAATGTTAAAAACAAGTTTAAACCTGATAAAGCTGAAAACACCTTTGATGAACTTTATAAAGACTGCATTTCAGCCTGCTTCACCTCTTGCTAAATGCAGAATTCCCACATGTGCCACTTTTAGGTATTGCATTTTACTAACAGAATCTTCAGAAGGTGATAGTGCCATCGAAACTCAGAACCATTTATGTGTACACTGGGCTCTTTTGTAAGGGGCCTAGGCACAATCTGACAGCAGTTTTGTGAGATGTTGAAAAGCCTCCCCTTCCTATTCCATCCCCCCCTCCTGAATTAGGTAACTTTGTTTACATCACATCGCAAATATCTTCTCTTTCAAGTCCAAATCAGCCTGGTAACAATCATACCACCCACGGAGGCTTGAAGATACAGTAAGACATAAAAGTTTCCAGGAATCTGGCATTCTGCATCTTGAGTCCTCTGAATAGTTTCATAACAAAAAATCAGCTTGCAAGAGAAAAACCACCCCTCGTCACCGCCGATTACTAGGTGCAGAAGCCATACTCAGTTTGTTGCTGTTCAGGGACAGGCTCTTCAGCAGAATGAACTTCCCTATCACCACAGGCGGGAGATTCTCGATCTTGTTGTTGGACAAGTCAATGGTCCTAAGGTTGCTCGTCAGCTTTTGCAACTCTGCGGGGAACTGGAGAAAGGAGTTGACAGCGGACAGACGGACAGACCTCTCCCTGATTAACTTGGCCGACCCGTCCCTCTCCCAGGTCTGGTCCCTCCCCGTCTCACCTCGGTCAGCCCACGGTCCTTAAGCTGAAAGACACCCGTTTTCTGCGCCGTTTCCACATGAGCGCGGAGGGCACTGTTTCCCATCTTCGTGCCGCGCTCAGGTCCCTGCGGGAGGAGCGCAGCTGTCACCGCCCAGTCTAGCCGCACTGCCACCCAGTCGGCCTCCCGTTAGGGTGTTCACCCCAGGTGTCACCTTCTGGCGATCCCTGGATCCTGGGGGCCCGCTGAGAGGGGCAAGGAAGAAAAGGAAGAACACACAGCCCGACCAGCAAGTCCGGCAGCTTTTGAGGCTTCGATGAAGATCGTCTCTTGGAGCCTCTAGAGGACCAGCAGTCCCCGGACTCGCTACCCACCGCTCGGAAGAGAGCAAGTTCCTCAGCAGCAGAACCCCGCCCTCGCTGTTCTGGGATCCGCTCCCAGGGCTTCCGCCCGCGCGGGCCCGCGCCGCAACGTCATCAGCCAGCGCCGAGCCTGCACTGGCGCTCACTCCCTCCCGGCGCGCTCCCGGGAGGCTCGCCAGAGGATGGCCGCTCCTAGTCCCTGGGACTCGGCGTCCGAGCCCAACGCCGCCCGGCTGCTGCTGGGCCACCTTGTGGGCTCTGGCGTGGTCACTCAGGTGTGTGGGGGTAGCGCTGCCGTCATCAAAGCGGTGCTCGAGGTGGCGACAGCATTTGGCTGTGAGGTGGCGGGAGTGCCGGTCGGGAGTGTTGACCAGTCTGCCCTGGATTCTTTGAAAGTAACTGATTAGATGGTGCTGGGAGTAGAAAATTTTGAATTTTTACAAACAAATTACCCAGGCCCGTTTGTGGGAGATAGAATGGTGTTACCCTATTGATACCGCCTCTAGACTGCAGTGTGTGGCGGGGTCAGGGAATAAAGCATTTATTTTCAACCGCTCTTATTTATGGGAAATACTGAGCCGTATTTGAGGCAGAAGAGGCTGACTGGAGAGCGCCAGGGCTATATCTTTTGGAGGCATCTTATAAACCCCCTTCCCAAAACCAAAAGTATTGGCGAAAAAGATACTGTATAAAAGACTTTGTAACGTGAATCAGGAAGGAATTATATTGAGGAAAGAAGAGTGATGTATTTTTTAAATTCTTTTATCGGTACATTTTAGGTATGAAGTACATTTACATTCATCATTAGGAACTTGTACCTTTACATGATGTATCTTTGATCTTATTTTTCCCCCATTTCCCTGCCCTCCCTTCAACCCCACCACCCCTCCCTATTTGCAAAGGCTCTGTTTCCAGTTATTTCTTATCTCAATTTTTTTTTTTTTTTTTTGGTATCGGGAATTGAACTCGGGACCTTGTGCTTTGGAGGCAGGCGGTGGAACCACTGAGCTAAATCACCGGCCCTCTTATCTCGTATTTTTTCCTTTCCCTTTCCCTTTTTTCCTTTCCCCTACCCCTTTAGACCTTTTCTTCCTATTTCACATTATCAATTATTCATTTTAATCCTTATTTACACTTTAAGCTTGAGTGATGTATGTTTTAAGTTGGGCAAGTAGAGCATGTTCTTAGGCTTGAGGGAAGCAGCCAGTAGAGGGTGAAATTGAACATGCGAGAGAATAATGGAATACCAGTGACAGAAGAGAATGAGGAAACAGAAAAGGCCATTGAGGTTGGGAAAAAGAAACTTTGATCTATAAAGATGAGATTGAGGAATTTCACTAAAAAGGAAACTGAGAAACGTTAAAAAGGTAAATTCTGCAGAAATGAGCAATACATAGGGCAGGGGATTTAGCTCAGTGGCACTGCGCCTGCCTTGAAAGTGCAAGGTACTGAGTTCAATCCCCGGTACAAAAAAAAAAAAAGAAGAAGAAGAAGAAAGGAAATAGAAAAAAAGAAAGAAAGAAATGAGCAATACAAACCTGATGAAAGACTTACGGGAAATATATAATTTCTTGTACTTGGAAGACTCGTTATAGACTTCTAATAACTTAAGGGATTATTTGTGGCACTGAGGATGGAATCCAGGGCCTTGGGCATGCTAGGCAAGCCCTCTACCACTGAGCTGCACCCCCAAACTCTTATCTTTTAAAGAAACTAAGATCTTAGAGCTCTGTTTTCTGACACATTATATTATCTCTTAAAAACTCTAGGGGCCGGCTGTTTAGCTCAGTGGTTCTGCCACCTGCCTTGCAAGAACAAGGACCCAAGATCAATCCCTGGTACCAAAAAACCCCACAAAACTGATAAGATACTTGAAAGATTTTAAACTTATTTTGAAGACCCGTTGTTTGCCTGACCTGGTGGCACTCATGTAATCACAGTTACTTGGGGAGCTGAAGCAGGAGGATCTCAAGTTTGAGCTTGGCCTGGTCAGTTTAGTGGAACCTTTTTATGGGTCAAAAGTTTGGTGTTTTTTTGTGGTTTTTTTGGTTTTTTGGGTACTGGGGATTGAACTCAGGATCTTGTGCTTGCAAGGCAGGTACGGTGCCACTGAGCTAAATCCCCAGCCCAAAGGTTTGTTTTTTTGAGATGGGGGTCTCGCTTTGTAGTGCAGGCTGGCCTTGAATGCAGTGTGTAGCCCAGACTCCTCTCAAACTCTCCAGCTCAGCCTCCCAAGTGCTAAGATTATAGGTGTTGACCACCACCCGAGGCTTCGGAACTCTGTTTAAGATTGGGGGGTGGGGAGGCTGGGCATATGACTCAGTGATGAAGCACTTACCCAGAATGCCCAAGCCCTGGGTTTAATTCCTATAGCAGCATTGAAGAAAAAAAAGTGAAAATAAAAGGAAAAAAATGGGAACAAAGCGTTTGTACATAGGGAGAGGAGAGGGTTTGAGAGGGGAATGGGATAAAATAAAATAAAATTTATTAAAGAGAAAAGGAAGGGGAAGGGCAAGGAGGAAGAGACACAGTTATGCTTAAAATTTTGATATATCCTCTTCTTGAAAACATAACTTGAAATTTTTCTGTTTCTTTTTTGTTTTGTTTTGTTTTTTGGTACCGGGGATCAAACTCATGACCTGTTGCTTGCAAGGCAGGTGGTGGAACCACTGAGCTAAATCCCCAGCCCTTGATTGGTTTTTTTTAATGGTATTTGGGGGAAGGTCTAATTATTTTGAATTCTTTATATAGTCTAGATAATAGTCCTCTCTGAAGAATAGCTGGCAGGTCCTGTAGGTTCTCTCTTTGTTGGCTATTTCCTTTGCTGTGCAGAAACTTTTTTCTTTTTTTTTGGTACAGGGATCGAACTTCGGTCCTTGCGCTTGCGAGCCAGGTGGAACCACTGAGCTAAATCCCAAGCCCCAATATGCAGAAACTTTTTAACTTGGTATGATCCCATTTGATGATTCTCGGTACTGTTTGTTTGTTTGTTTTGTTTTCCTTTGGTAGGGGGGGATCGAACTTAGGACCTTGTGCTTGTGAGGCTGGTGGTGGCACCACTGAGCTAAATCCCCGGCCATCAGTACTATTTCTTGAGCCCTTGGGGTATTGTTTGGAAAGTCCTTGCCTATGCCTATGACTTCAGTCAAGAGTTTTATGTATTTTGTTTGTTTTTGTTGGGGTTTTTTTGGTACCAGAGATCAAACTCGGGACCTTGTGCTTGTGAGGCAGGCACCAGAACCACTGAGCTAAATCCCCAGCCCTGAGTTTTATGTATTTTATCTTCCAGCAGATTGTTTCTGTTTTAACATCTAGATCTTAGATCTACTTTGATTTTAATTTAGTACCTGGTGAGATGTATGTATCTATATTCAATCTTTTGCATATAGATAGTTTTCCCAGCACCATTTTTTAAAGAGGCTACCTTTCTTCCAGTGTATGTTTTTGGCCCCCTTTTCAAAGATCAAATAGCTGAAAGTACCTGGGATTGTTTATTTCCTCTGTTCTAATCCATTGATTCACATGTCTGTCTTTTGTGCCAGTACCATGCTGTATTTAACACTGTAACTTTATAATGTAACTTCAAATCCGAGATTGTAACACCTTCTGCTTTGCTCTTGTTACCCAGAATTGCTTTTGTTATTCTGGATGTCTTTTGGTTCTATATGAATTTTATGATTGTTTTCTCTAGTTCAAAGAAGAATCCTGTTGGTATTTTGATTGGGATTGTGTTCAATCTATCAGTTTGGAAGTATGGCCATTTGACTATATTGGTTCTACCTATCCAGAACCAGGGGATAGCTTTCTATTTTCTGATGGACTCTTTGATCTCCTTTTTCAGAGTACTGTAGTTTTCATTGTAGAGGTCTTTCACTTCCTTGATTAGGTTAATTCCTTAGTATTTAATTTTTCTTGATACTGTTGTGAATGGTATTGTTTTCCTAATTTATTTCTCAGTGAGTTCATTATTGGTGTACAAAAACACTGTTGATTTTTGTGTTCATTGGGAGAATGATTTGGTGAAAGAAAGGTAGGGTTAACTGTATCTAGTATAACAAGGTATTTGCTTTAGTTTATGCCCCTAGAATTGCTTTAGAAGCCTTACATTCTGGATATTTTCTAGGAAGTTTGAGTGAATCGTAGTTTCAATCAAAGTTTCTTCTGCTGGAGTGTATAAGGATCTGGACCTACAAAAAAAAAAATCTTGGGCCGGGGATTTAGCTCGGTGGTTTTGCTGCCTGCTGCACAAGCGCAAGGACCTGAATTCAATCCTCGGTACCAAAAAAAAAAGAAATCTTTGAGTCTACTACCAGTTTCTCAGTCTGTGTGCCGCCCTCTTCTCCACCCCCTCCTCTATTTGAGAGCTTCTCCCTCCCTCTTCCTTTTCCTGTCTGTCATGTAGTAATGAGGATTGAGCCCAGGGCAGCCCTTTTAAAAATTAAAGTATTTATTTGCAGTACTGAGGATTGAACCAGGGCCTTCCCACTGAACTGCAATCCCTGGCCCTTTTTATTTTTATTAATTTTTGAGACAGGGTCTGAGTTAGTAAATTGCTCAGGCTGAACTTCTCTCTTTTTTTTTTCCAGTACCGGGGATTGAACTCAGGTCCTTAAGCTTGTGCAGCAGGCGGCGAAACCACTGAGCTAAATCCCTGGCCCTAAAAAAAAGAAAAAAAATCCCCAGCCCTCAGGCTGAACTTCTCTGTCAGCCTTCTAGAGTGCTGGGATTACAGGGCTGCACCACTACACCTGTCAAGAGCCTCTTCCCAACTCCTTTGCTATGCTGTCCCACCCTCCTTTGAAACAGAGTCTTACTGTATAACCTAGGCAGATCTTGAACTCATGGTACTTCTGCATCAGCCTTGCTAGTACTGAGATTACAGGGATGCAGCACCACACCTGGCCTGAAGGTTCTTGTGTTAAATATAAAGATCTTGAATTCCAGCTTCTTATTGTGCCTAACTACAGAGTAAATAAGAATGTCTTATATCCTAAATAGAATCCCTTTTCTTAGAATCCTTTCACTTTCAGACCCCTTTATTCCAGTAGCATGGAAAGTATATAATATATAGTATCAGTAACTGAAGGTGAGGATTTTTTTTGTATTCTCCAATTTCTGCTTTTTTTTTTTGTAATGTAGGACTAAGTCATAATCCTCAGTTGTAATTTTTATTTACTAGGGGAGTTTAGTTGCTCTTTCATTCCTGCTTTTTTGCTATTCTGTTCTTGAATATTCTTATTTTCACTCTGGTTTCATTTTCACTCAGCTAAGCATCATGACCCCATTGTGAATCCAACAGTTTACTAGTTTGCTAAACATGAAACTAAGAGTAGTGTGTACACATAGAAGGATGGAGATATATCAGATAGTGGGTGGCGTTACAGTGTGCTATGGAAGATGTTTTACTTTCTACCCAAGAGAACAAAAAGAAAAGTAATAGAGTGAGTCTGATATGATGGAAAGGAAGTGGATTACACGTGTTCTCACTTCCACTCTTACACATATTTGCTATCTAAGATATCTTGTGTTATCTACCTTAATAACATAGCTATTCTTTTAGTCACCTGAAACAGAATCCTTGGGACCAGTATTAACTCTGTGCATGCTGCCTGCCTCGAAAGCGCAAGGACCCGAGTTCGATCCCTGGTACCAAAAAACAAAAAAAAACCTTGGTGCACATGCATGCCTGCATGTGTGTATATGTGTACACATATGTGTGTTACTGAGGAATACTCTACCACTGAACTATATCCCCAGCCTTTATTTATTTACTTATTTTTTTGGTACCAAGGATTGAACTCAGGTCCTTACGCTTGCGGGGCAAGCAGCGGAACCACTGAGCTAAATCCCCGGCCCTTTTTTTATTTTTAATTGCTGCTGACCTAGTACATATTCTCATTATCTTGCCTGAAATACTATAGCAACCACCCATTTAAATATCCAACCTCCAGTCCATCTGTCCACTAGGTTTTTTGTTTATTTTATTTTGTTTTTAGGTTGGTTAGTTACAGCAGAGATTGCCAACCTTTTTGGCACTAGGGACCAGTTTCGTGTACTTCAATGTGGTTGCTAATTTTAAACATATTCTGTAAAATGTTAAGTTCAGGTGACATTTTGCAGCTAGCCAGTATTTCTCTGTGGATGACACAGTTCATAGACTCACATTCAGAAGTGATTTATTTGACCTGAGTAGTGAAACCAGAAAGCCATCCAGTCACGCCAGCCACTCTGTGCATATACCAACACAAATGCCCAATTTAGTTTTCCTGATATGTAGTCATTCAAAGACTTGATTAGTTCTGTGGCTATGATGTTGGTTGGCAACAAAAGCACACATAACATACCCTCATGCATGTCCTTCTGAAAGATATATCCCCCAAAGCAAGCATTATTGATTATTATTGTTGATAGATTCATCAACCTGGATTATGAAGAACGGTAACTCATTAATCCTCTCTAATGACTGTGCCTCTACATCCTCAGCTATTTCATCAGTCCATCTAGTTATGGTGCTAGCTGAAAGAGAATCACATGCCATCTTTGGAACTGCAGCCTCTTCTAAAAGTTCACGACATATGTCTTTAGCAGCAGCCAGAACCAACCCTTCACCAATTGTAAAGGACTTAGCTTTTGCAATGCGGTTAGGCACTAAGAATGTTGTTCTCCCAAAAGTGCAGACACATTTTGTGAAGTGGTGGCCTTCACTAATTGCTTCTACTCTTTGTGTTTGTGGTTTTTTCTTTTGAGAAACTCCAAAAGCTTATCTTTTAATGCAGAGTACTTGGTCTCTTATGTGGCAAAGACGTTTTGAAGGTTTCATGGCTTCCTTGGATAGCAGTCGCCACATATACAAAGTGGGCTTGGAGAATGTGAATCACCTGTGGCAATGAACCCATAATTTAAGTAGGGCTCTTGATATTTTCTTTTAAATGCAACTTTCGGGCCGGGGATTTAGCTCAGTGGTGCCGCCACCTGCCCCGCAAGTGCACGTACCTGAGTTCAATCCCCAGTACCAAAAATAAAAATAAATGCAACTTTCTTTTTGTTGGCAGTCTTTGAGTCTTCTACTGTCTTTTCTCCTTTTCTTTTCTTTTTTTGTACTGGGGATTGAACTCGGAACCTTGCGCTTATGCAGCAGGCCCCGGAACCACTGAGCTAAATCCCCGGCCCCTTTCCTCCTTTTCTAAGAAGCTTGCTAGTAACATTTATTTTTTTATTCATTTTGTCTAGGGCTAGCTTGTGGGCTTTAGGAAATAGTACCAATAGTCTTGTCTGTTTCTCACTTTTTAAACATTTAGACAGGAGATTTGTGACAATGACAGTTCTACAAAGAGGAAATATACATCATTACTGTTTTGCTCTATAGTTCATGTTCAAGGCCAGGGTTGGACATAATGTCATCTTTTATTCCTATGGGCATGCTATTCCAGTGTGCATAGAAACTTTCTACTTTCTACTTTCCCTGTTCATTTACCAATAGGAGATGTTAAACATATCGAAGAAAACAGCTTCTTGCTTTGTGAACTTCTCCAGACTACAGCAGACAACAAATATTCAAGCTGAAATCTATCAGGTAATTTATGCTGACCTTTTCACTTCATAACTTCTGCAGGGAAAAAAAACAAACAAACCTTACATTGGGATGTAGTTCAGCAGCAGTGCAGGTGCTTGGCATATGTGAGGTACTGGGTTCAATCCTCAGCTAAAATAGAACAAGCTAGGCATAGTGGTGCATGCCTGAACACCCAGCACTTGGGAGGCTAAGGCAAGAAGATCGCAGGTTTAAACCCAGCCTGGGCAATTTAGCAAGACCTAACATTAGCTGCAGGAGGACAATAACACTAAAATGAAAAGCTTTGGTAAATCACCTGGGCTTCTATATATATGTAAATCATCCTACCAATACAAGTCTTCACTGTGTGGTCTAGGATGACATCAAATTTGCAGCCCTCCTGCCTCAGCCTCCCTGAGTGCAAGAATTACAGGTATGGCCAGGTATGATGGTGCGTGCCTATAATCCTATAATCCTAGCATTTGGGTGTCTGAGGCAGGAATATACTTGTGAGTTTGAGGCCAATCTGGGCTCCATAGTGAGTTAAGGCCAGCCTGAGGCAGACCCCATCTCCAAAAAAGAAAAAGAAAAAGATTACAGGTGTGTACCACCATGCCTGGCTTCAGAGGGAGCCCCCCCACCCCCTTATTTGCTACTAGGGATTAAACCCAGGGCCTTCATTCACACTGATCTACATACTCAGCCCATTTTTTATTTTTTAATTTTTTTAGACAGGGTCTTACTAAGTTGGTAAGTTGCCCAGGCTGGGCTGGAAATTGTGATCATCCTGCCTCAGCCTCCCAGAGTGCCAGGATTGCAGTTATATGACACCACGCCTGACTGTGGAGAGCTTCTGTTGTAGTAAGGATTAATACCAACCTTCTCGTGCGTGCACCACTTAGTTAAATTGAGGCTCGATCTAGGACGAAAGTCACACCATGCCACAAGAAAGCAAAAGTAAAGATAGCTTTACTACAAGGTTAAGCAATAAGAATAGTAAAAAGAGGGGTCGGGGATTTAGCTCAGTGGGACCACGCCTGCTTCTCAAGTGCAAGGTTGTGAGTTCAATCCCCAGTACCAAAAAAAAAAGGAAGTATGACAGATAGAAGTAATACATCACCAGCCGGGGTATTGCCTCAACACCCAAAGACAACTAGGGGAGTCCCGAGAGGGCAGTTTATCAGGGTCCTGCTGGACAGAGAAGTCTTGCATGCAATTTTTTTGTTTTGTTTTGTTTGTTTGTTTGTTTTGGTACCAGGGATCAAACTCAGGACCTTGTGCTTGCAAGACAGGTGGTGGAACCACTGAGCTAAATCCCCAGCCCCATGCAATTTTAATATATCACCAGATAGGGTAGCATCTTGGCTCAACACCTGAAGACAACTGGGGAAATCCCAAGACAGCGGTTGGTCAGGGTCCTGCTGGACAGAATCCCTGCATGCAGTTCTAAGAGTCTTCCAAATTTCTCTTTTTCCTTGTTAGCTTATATAGCATGTTACCCAAAGGTGGCTTTATGGCAATGAAGCGTATGTATCTTAGGAGTCTGCTCTGGGATCAGGTTAGGAGCCCGGGCAGAGTCCTTGTACCAAATATTTCAGATTAAGGCGTTTATTCCCTCAAGGACAGACTCTGGGAGGGTAGCCAGTCCTCCTCCAGCCCAGCACATACAGAGGTCACACTTTGGTCACATGAATCTGAGTAACTCTTTTTATGTTCCCTTCAGCTTCTTAAACATGGAATTTGGATCCCATCAGTGCCCCATTCAGAACACACTATACTTGGGAAAATCAGCCCTCTCGGGCTTGCAGAGTGCTATTTGTTCTGGCTTGTCTAACCACTGTCCTGTTGCCTGTGCCCCAGGAACCTTGATTGTACAGGGTCTCCTGTCCTCCATAATGAACAAGACTGGGGCAGGGAAAACACAGCTAGTCAAAGCAAGCAACACAAGATGGGAGGAGAGCTGTGTAGCAGTGACACAGGGACCACTCCTGTGTAGGGGGAGCCCAAGGGTCCATTTTTATGAGCCTTTGGCCTTGGGATACTCTCTGAGTAAGCTGAATGTTACTACTTCTTTGTTGTTGTTTTTTCTTTTTTGGTACCGGGGATCGAACTCGGGTCCTGGAGCTTGTGAGGCAGGCGGCAGAACCACTGAGCTACATCCCCGGCCCCTGAACGTTACTACTTTTGTTGCTAATGTAGAAAAGCCTGGAAATTGAACTTCTGGAACTAGAAAAAGAAACAGCAGATATTGTTCATCCTTCCTATTTGGGTAAGTGGTTTTGTTAAGTGCATAATCATTGGAATTTCAACTTTTTCTTGGATTACCACCCAGCAAAATTTTGCTGTGCCATAGTTGTTCCAGGTATTGCCCCATAGCTTACAAAGTATTCTAGTTCTCTGCACAAATACAAGTCCTGTTGACTTGACTAGTGCAGATAGTCTGTAATATGATTGAACTGACTCCCATATTAGTCTATTTTCTGTTACTTTACCAAAATATCTGATGCTGGATAATGTATAAAGAAAAGAGGTTTAGTGAACGCATAGTTTGGAGAGGTGAGGGCATGGCATTCGCTGGCTCTGTTAAGGTAGATAGCATCACAGTGGTGAAGCACTTGGCAAGAGGGAGAGGGTATGTGGCAAGACAGGAAGCCAGAGAGTGATTCAAGGGTCAGGCTAACATTTTTTTTTAGTACCAGGGATTGAACTCAGGACTTTGCACTTGCAAGCCAGGTGCAGTGCTACTGAGATAAATCCCAGGACCACTCAGGCTAACTCTTTATAAAAACCCTCCCAAGAGAACTGACCAGGAACCAGAGTCCCAGAACTACATCTGTTTCTCCAAGGCAGTGCCCTCCTGACCTAATTACTTCCCACCAGCTCTCACCTCTCAGAGGTTCCACACTGCCTCCCAGCACCAACAGGGGGACCATGCTTCTGACACATGAGACCTGTAGGGATGCCGTCTGGCTTTATTTAAGCCATAGCTGCTCCTCGGAGTCCAGAGAACATGAAGACAAGGGGTGAAGAACTTTCCAGATGGAAGGAGATTAATGTGGCATGACAGTTTAAGCACCGTCTGATTATGGATTGTATATTCAGTCCAAAAAATTGCTTTTTTGCTATAAAGAACAGTATTGGGGGCGCCAGGGATTTAGCTCAGTGGTTTCGCCACCTGCTGCGCAAGTGCAAGGACCCAAGTTCAATCCCTGGTATCAAAAAAAAAAAAGAACAGTATTGGGACACTTTGACATTTAAATATGGGCTGCATTAAGTAGTGGTAATATTGTATCAATGTTAAATTTGGGGAGGGGAGAATTTCAGAATTTGATAATGTCCTATAGTTGCATATATTAGAGAATCCTCCTGTTCTTGGGAAAGACATGCTGAAGTTTTAAGAGTAAAAGATCTTGCTGTCTGCAACATAATCTCAAATGAATATTTTTGAGAACAAAAGGTAGGTTCATGTGCTTGTATGTGTGCTAGTGTACAGAGAGATCAGAAGGAAAAAAGGTCACTAAATGTTAACAATTGGTGCATCTAGGTGAAATATATATGGAAGTTTACAGAATATTTTAAAACCTTTTCTGTAAATTTGAATTTTTTCAAATTAAAATTTTATAGAAGGGGAAGTTGACAGCCATTAACTGAATTCTGAGAAGAATTCAGTGATAATCTCATGTGGTTTGCAAGTTACTGTTTCATTTTTTTTGTTTGTTTGTTTGAGACGGGATCTTGCTTTGTAATCCAGGCTGGCCTCACATTCACTGTGTAGCCTAGTTTGGCCTCAAACTGTTGATCCTCCTGCTTCAGCCTCAGTGCTGGGATTACAGGTGTGCCCCACCACACCCAGCTGATTTACTTTTTTTTTTTTGGTACCAGGGATGAACTTGGGTCCTTGTGCTTGCGCAGCAGGTGGCGAAACCACTGAGCTAAATCTCCGGCCCTGATTTACTTTTTAATGTTCGTATGTAGGATATTAGAGGAAGGATAGAAAAAGAGACCTTATGTGAAGAATGTGGCTGTGGCTATTAAAACTGAGTAAGAGGGCTGGGTATTTAGCTCAGTGGTTTTGTCGCCTGCCTTCCAAGCTCAAGGTCCCGAGTTCAATCCCCAGTACCAAGGGGGAAAAAAACAAAGTGAGTAAGAGCTGGGCCTGGTGGTGCATACCTACAACCCCAGCACTCAGCAGGTTGAAGCACCGAAATTGCCACACATTCCAGGCCATCCTGGGCTATATAGTGAAGCCCTTTCTCAAAAACAATTTAGCTCTATATTTGTTTGTCAGTGGGAAAAGTAAGAGAAAGTAGTTGAAATTTGTATTGGTAATTAGAGGTAGCAATGAGGAAAAGGGGAGAGATTTAGAAGGGAAATTGTGGGTTCTCTTTTTCTTAGATGTGGTCTTGCTATATTGCTCAGACTGGTCTTGAACTCCTTCTCTGAAGGGGTCCTCCTGCCTCAGTTTTCTGAGTGCTGGGATTGCAGGCCTTGGACTTGGCCTGGAAGTGCTGTACTTGGCCTTGGATTAAGTTGTAACATTGTTATTACTAAACCCAAGAAGAAAGCATTGGTGATTCCAAACTTACTTGTCCTGTCTCAAACTGTAACTACTATTTCTTGTTTGTGTAGCTGAGAAGTGTCACACCCTGCAAAGCATGAACAGTCATCTGGAAGCAGTGCTAAAAAAGAAGAGGTCTCTCAGGCAAAGGCTGTTGAAGCCCATGTGCCAGGAAAACTTACCTATGGAAGCGATATATCACAGGTTAACCTAAGTAGTGGGAATGAGCAATTCTGCATGTTTTCTGAGGGTAGTTTTTTGTTTAGACTGACAGTAATTTATACCATTATTAATGAAACAACGTATTGCTGATTATATTTGTTAACATGGGGGCCAGGGATTTAGCTCAGTGGTTCTGCTGCCTGCCTCACAAGCGAAAGGACCTGAGTTTGATCCCCGGTACCAAAAAAAAAAAAAA